AGACAGGGCCTGACTGGGATTTAAAAAAAAAAAAAAAAAAAAACAGCCTTGGACTTTGAGGTCCTCCACAATAAATTTTTACAGATGAGGGAGGAGGGATCCCCCCCCCCCCAATAAATTCTGTGAAGTCCAGGTACGCCTGGCCTGCCAATGGCCAGTCTAGCCCTGCTTATGGACACAGAGCTTATTTTGGTTAATGGATTCATTGTGGGTTTGTTTATTTGCACAGTAAGACACCTCAGCAAGTTCAGATCAGGCACCACTTGACATTCATTCTCTCGTGACAGCACAGGACCCCCCCCCCCCCCCGGAGGCCAGCTGGGGATTCAGCGGCCCCCGGCCCGCTGACAGAGCAGCCGCTGAGGGAGGCTGCTTAGGTGGCGTGTGCCAATTAGGGTGATCCATTTAATTCCTCAGGAAGCCCAAGCCCCCCCACACAGTGTGCCCAGCACTCTGCTTAAACCGCTCCGGAGGTCGTACCCCAGCGGGGGCCCGCCGGATGCCATTAAAGGCCACAGAACAACCGGCACTGCAGCTTGCGGGTCACTGATCCGAAACAAGACCAGCGTGTCCTCGTCATTCTTTTTATTTTGAGACCGAAAGTGAGGGATCCTGACAATCTCCGAAATTAGACGCTGCTGCCTCAGCAGGTGAACACACTCGGCAGGTGCCAGTAATCTGCCGCGCGAGAGGATTACGCCGACGTTCCATCAGCACGTGGACAGATATGCGGCAAATTCCCAGCTTAGTGGCATTATTCACTTTCCCAGCTCCGAGCACGGCGGCGGCGGCAAGACGGCACGCGAAGAGCGGCCGCGGAACACGGGGGCCCGGGACAGTCGCTTCAGCCGAGAAGCGGTACCATACTGTGGCAAGCGCTCAACGGGCAGTTCCCCTTTCAAACGGCTGACAAGCAGATTTAATGAGCCCACGAACTGCCAGGTATCGGGAGGGCTGGCATTTCTGGGTTATTTTTAATGAGCCGGTGACTGGGCAGTGAGTATTTTGTAAGGCCACTTTCTCCCATGCAGGTGCCCACATCCAGTCACCGCAGCGGCTGGGCATTGCTGCTCGACAAGAGCGCTGCGTCCCCAAGCACAACTGCGCAAGACTTTGAGTTGGTGCACCATTTTCATTCCAGGAATACCATATTTACACGGACAGAAGCACGCCACCAGTATTTCCGCTTTTAACACTTTAAACTGGGGTCGGTGCCGAGGGGGAGACTCAAGTTCCCTCCCTGTAGGAATGAGTCATGCTCAGGTCAAAGTGTGAGGACATAAACATGCTCATTCCAAAGACATATTACTTAGCACACATTTAAAAGCAGGGTATGTCATTTAAATAGTCTATCGTATCCTTTTTTGTAAATGCTGATTAATTATATAATGATACGCAAGAATGAATGAAAGTGTGTTTACGAACCTCGAAGGGCCCGAGTGTTTTATAAAATGACACATGACGTTATTTGCCCCACCGAGGCACGTCTGCACACAGCCCGCTTCATCCAGCTGTGCCTCATTAACGGGAATCGTGAGAATTGTTCCTTATGAAAACCGCACAGAGGAAAGGCATCGGCGCATCCAGCAGCCAAACAGCAGGCTCCTCCACGTCAGGCGAACGGCCGCACTTAACCCCGAACGGGCTAACGCAGGGCATGCTTCACCGCGCCGCCGGCTGGATTGCGGCGCAAACAGCCGGCATGGCTGAGAGAGGTCAGACACAGCCAGTGCGCTTAACCTCCAGACGTGGTCATGTCCAGTAATCCCATGAAGCTCTTACCATAAACACCTAAGCTGTTTATCAGGTGGCTGAGAGAGGGGTAACACTCTTCCCCCCCCTCATACCAGCCTCCTGAAAACTTACATACATAGGAAATGTCAACTGAGCACATTCACCCCAGGGATGTACTAGCAGGAAACACACTCCACCTGCAGCACAATGTCTGTCAGTATGAATGACGCTGCCTTTGTTTTTTTGCTCTAGATAATTATGGGACCCATTCCAGTTCTCTTCTCCAGTGAAGGAGATTTATTTTTCCTGGAATTAGATCCTGCCAACTTCAGGCCATAAATCTAGGCGTTTAACCAAATACAGCACTTTCTGGACAATACTGCCATGAAGACCAGTTTGTGGGGAGAGCATCAGAAAGCAGGAGCTGAAGAAGGGAGGGAGGGAGGGGCAGGGAGGAGGAAGGGAAGGCGTGATGGCGAAGGCCTGCGTACCTCCGCCCGGTACGGCACAAAAAGGGCACTGCCCAGGTTGCCCGTGATGCCGCTGAAGATGTAGATGATGGCGATGCGCGCCCAGCCAGCCAGCTTCTCCAGGTCCCTCAGCACGGTCATCTGGAAGACCACGGAGACCAGGCAGTGCAGCAGCCTGCACGGATGGCCACCAGGTCAGTGGGCTGGGGTGATGGTGCTGCACGGGCAGGTGATGGGACCCAGGGGCACGGACTCACCCGGCGTGGAGGAACAGCGAGAGCCACAGCCGGTAGAACTGGTCAGGGACGTCCGGATTGAGGAACGGTAGGAGGCCACAGACGTCGTCTAAGCAGTGCACCTGTGAGGGAAATGCAAGGTCAGATATAAAGCCAGACACTGGCTCAGTCTGTTATCCGGGTCCCGTGGCCTCATTGTTTAACAGCTTTTCCTGTTAATCTGCCAGTGCCACCACGCCATACTGGGCCCCAGCAGCACCGCCTACCACTGCGCCCGTCTGCCAAGCCGATCTGAGCCCAGGAGGGCACCGTGCTGTCACCTGTGAGCAGAGAGTGGCCTCCTCGTGGAAGTAGCCATGCATGAACGTGCAGTATTCCCGCGTTGTAATCTCACACCTATCGCAAACACAAGCAGTATCATTAATACATTACCATTACGCTAATAATACTACTAGCAGGAATAATGCGATTAAAAATATCGTCATCGCCGGACCCAACGGCCATCAGGTTTGTTGCAAAGCTGGGATACATTATTGCTTATTCGTCTCAGATCGACGTGTGGTGTCGGAAGTCAGAAGTCAAAGCTAGCTTAGCTGGGTAGGTTTGATCAGTGAATACGTCTGTCACGGTGGCTTTACCACGAAGCCAATCTTACCTGCCCTTGGTCCCGATACAGCAAGGTCTCCCCTTTATGCTGCAGTCCATGTGCCTGTACCCAGTGTGGTTCCACTTGCGTGGAAAAGTGCAGATCTGAAAATAGAGAGGGAAGCCTCCGCTACAGCAATGCAGGCTTTCCCAGCATTCTCTGGGGGCGTCAACGTACTGAGGACGGCAGCAGCCGTTTCAGCTGGAGACCAGCTCCTGCTGCCGTCGCAGGCCACGCTGCTGGAGTGGCGGCACGCCGGGAACTCACCGGCCACTGGGTGATGTCATCGGGCCAGATGTGGGGTGCCGCTGAGGCTGGCTCCTCACAGATCCTGGAAGGCAGGAAAAAGACAATACAATAAGCAAGCTCAAGAATTCATCATGATGTAAAAAAAAAACAAGGTTAAGAAAAAGGAGCCAGTACCTCGGGTCCTGGTTACAAACAGAGCCAGACGAGCGCGTTATGTCCAAATTCTCCGCGTTCCATTTTATAAAGGTGGCCAGTGTCTCCTGCATCAACACATCACAGACAGAAAACATTCTATTCACACACTTCGCCTGCAGAGGGCGCACTACACTGAAAATACCAAACCCTGAGGCAAACCTCATGACGGTGATTTTTCGAGGTTTTTCCTCATAACTACAAACCTGTCAACCCACAAGGCTGGACACAGTCCTGGACTTAGTGCCCTCAGACCATGTGAGCCATTCATGGGAAATTTGTCTGTAAGATGTGTTGCGTACCGAGCAGTCTGTTCTCAGTGTCTGTACACAGCCGGAGTTGTCATTCTGCACACAGCAGCCTGATTCCCTCTCCAAGTCCTTGGCTTGCTGGATGAGCTTGGAAATCTGCTCATCCTGTCGAATGCAGGGGGAGAACTTCGCCCCGAGGTGGATGAGATCTTCCTAGGAGACAGAGGGAGCAGACTGCCAACAACAGCTAACTAAAGCACTGTCAGATGACGAGGTCAGAAGACCAGCATAAGCAAGGGGAGCAAAGGCCGACTGAGGACATGGGGCTGCTGTCGGCAACCAGCAGGTACGAGCGCAGTCACTCACTGAGCTGGGCCCGATCCAGAAGTTCTCCTGCTGGGTATATTTCACGCTCTCGTAGACACCCTTGTTTCGGAGCACCTGAGAGAGGCCACAGCGATGGTGACTCAGCACAGGAGATGCAGGTCATTCGGAAATACAACAATGTAATGGCAAAGGTGCTGAACAGGTTATAAACCACAGCAAACTGTTGGGTACCAAAACCACAACCCATGAGCTTTCCGTGAGACGGTATGGCACTGCTGGTTAGCACATTCTGATCCCGGGGCCGGCAGAGCGATGGCGCCATTGAGCTATGTGTTTCTAAGAAGCATTTCCTGTAAACCACCCCGGTGACTATTCTCAGCCAATCGGATAAGAGCACACTATGCCCGTTGTACCTCAATTGGCCACTTGGGGGTGAGGGGAACTCACCAGCTGAGTGGTCGAATGCTGGGCGAAGCCGACGGGGGCGAAGCCGTAGGTGCCGACGGCCAGGAGGGTGATGACGACGTGCACGCACGTGATCCAGTAGGTGAAGTATGGCCTGTTTGAGGCGGGAAGAGCCAGGGACACGGTGATGAACCGGCTCCGTAAGCGTGTGAGAGACCCGGCAGCTGCAGCCCGCCCACCTGTGACTGTGGAAGTCGTCCAGCTGCTTCTGCACCTGGCTGCTGATGCTGCGCCGGTAATGCCGGTTCAGCCACTTGCCCACCACACCCATGCCGTACTGCCGCTTGTGCCGGTCGAAGGCGAAGTGCTTGACACGTGATGCGATGCGCTGGCCACGCTGGGGGCGGGGCTCTCCGGGCAGCCGCGGGCCCAGGTCCTTCTTGATCGACAGGGGCCTGGGGGAGACGCAAAGGTGAGGGGCAAGGGATACGCCAGGCACAATGAGGTCAGCGGGGCGGGGACTCACAATTTTACAGAAGGCTCCGCCTCCTTGAGTGCTGGTTCCTCGAAGTGTGGCTGCTGGTGGCTGCTGCAGGTTGCCGACAGAGGCGGGGACTCGAACACATCATCGGGTATGGAGTACGCCTCGTAATGGGCGTCGACCTGCTTCCCCAAGGGGGGGGATTAGGGAAGGGAAACAGGTTACAGAAGGCAGCTGTACTCCACACACGACTCCCTGACAGTCTAAAGCTCATGGAAGTCACAGAAGGAACACCTGATCTCTTCACATGATCAGTAGATACTGGGTGCAGCGTAAAAATAGCCAGCTGACATCTGTGTGGCTGGCAGAGATTAAAGCTATGGGGTCAGGAAGGGGTCCAGTGTGGGCGTGGCCAGTGGGGGCGCTTGCCTTGCTGAAGAACACGGAGTCTGAGGTATCGGCCGTGTCCACGGTGTCCTCTTCCAGCCAGCTGTGCTGGGCGAAGCTGCGGCGGGGGATGGTGCGGCCGGCCTGGGAGCTCAGCATCACGGGGCGACCCTGCGGTGAGTGGCAAGGCTGTCAGTCCTGTGGCCCCAGGAGGCCGCGTGGCTGCCGGAAAGGGACCCACCTTGAGAAGGTTGGAGGCGGCGCGGATGCTCATACGGGCCACGGATTCCCGTTTGCGGCGCGGCATGCGGGCGTAGCCGGAGCGCTGGCTGGAGAAGGAGCAGAGCGAGCTCATGCCCGGGGTCAGCGGTATGGGGGTCATGTGAGGCGTCCGCGGCCGGTCCGGCTCATCGGGGTAGCGGAAAGGCCGACCCCGGGCCAGAGGGTCCACTATCTTAAAGGGGCCATGGAACATAAGAGACATCACTCACCATATACGAGTTCTGCCTACCTGAGTTCATAACCCATTCAAGTTATTCCCACCCTCCATCCATCCATCCATCCATCCATCTAGGCCCCCCAGGATGCCCCCCCCCCCGCCCCACACACACCTTGGGCATTCTGTAGGCCCCCGGCGACTCCAGGCCCTGGTCCAGGCTGGGTGCCTCCTGCTCGCGGTACTGCGCCTTCAGTCTGCCGTACCGCTGGCTGCAGTGCTGCATGCTCTTGCGCCGCCACTGCATGTGCTTGCTCTCGCAGTCGTCCCCGACACCGAACCACTGCGCCGTGCCCCTGCAAGGTCACCCCCCCCCCATCCCGGGACATGTCAGCAACTCTGCACACACATCACTCACCCTATACGAGTTCTGCCTACCTAAAGCTTTCCAGTTTCTGTCCTAATTTTGTTCTGCTGATCTCCAGTGATGAAATACCCTGGAGATGATCCATCTCCCAGGGCAGCTCACACATCCCCGTTAGAGACAGTCTGTGAGATCTGGGTCAAGGGTCTGGGGGATCAGCACTGAGAGGCCCCGACGCAGCAGGCGGTGCCACCCAGCCCCCCCCCATTCCACCCCACCCCTCAGAAATCCAATATCAGTCATTATCAGCTGTCCGCAGGGCTCATTTCAACTCATTTGATGGCTGAAATGACTGTACAGTTAAAATGCTCTTAAAAACAGAGCGACAAGGTACCCTTCACACACAAACACACGCAATTTAAGCAATCATTCCAGTGTCACTGCATATTATATTACTTATAAAAGCTTGGGAAAAAACAGCTGGAGAAGTGGTATTCAGTGTATATTAATTAGGTGTCCTTAGCTGTAAATATCTCATCAGCATCTCTCCAAGGGGAAGAGCAGCTGCTCACCTGCGGATGCTCTGGGAGAGGGAGGTCTGCCTCTCAAAGGCCGGCCTCCTGCCCCCCACCACCGTGCCATCTTCAGACTGGACACCCAGGTCAGAGCTCAAGGGCTAGACAGAGGAGAAAAAAAAAACCTTCAGTGACACAAACAAGGCCAGTTGATGGTGAGAAACCAAGAAGAATGGTAGGAAACAAGGCCAAGGCCAATCAAACAGCCCGGGGTACTTTTTGCCCACATAGAAGGAATTCAGACCTCGGCATTGTTACCTGGTGATTCTAGCAGACTGTGGCATAATACTTATGTCCACATGCGAGTTCGCCGAGTTGGTTACAAATAATGGCAGTTTGGGACCATTTTGGAGAAAAAGCAGATGAGACCTAGACTCTCAGTTGGCTGTTATGCCAAACTCCAATATGTTGGAAGAAAGACATCCAACATGCTGATTCATCGGAGACAAACCCATCCGAGTGTGCGGCACTGGAGCAAAGCAGAAAGTTTCCTAGTGGCATGTAAGGCACTTCGGTCAGGAAATTCAGACCAGGCTACACATTAAATACATCTATAGATGTATTTAATCGATGCATTGCTATATGTAACCATACTCGGTAGAAGAGAACACATGATTTAGATGGGATTTAATTCACTATGACTTATAATGTTATATTTTGGATTGTAAAAATAAATGTTGAATAAATTAAAGTGTACAAATAAGCATCTCCTAGGACACACTGTATTTGGTTTACAGCTGCTCCTAATGGCGTTTGCAGTTTTCATGATATATAATTTCATAACAAATTCAATTTTTCCTGCTAACCCAAAATTACACCGAACTGTGACGCCAAAACCGAGGTTTGTACTGAACCATGGATTTTGTACACCGTTACATCCCTAGCTCAGACACATCAGTAAACTGAACCCAAGTGCCCCCCACTGGATGGATTACACATTAAAGCCATACAGGATCAGCGAGGTGGAGTTGGGAGGCAGTTTGCTCCTGGTCAGGTGCAGAGCCTTCACACCGTTGTCGAGCCAGTGGGTCCAGCAGGGGCGCCGCTAGCAATTTTGGGCCCTATGACAAAATATGAGGTTGGGCCCCCCTACGGTAACTTATTATTAATAAAGCAGATCTCTGGGGGGCCCTAAAGGGCGTGGGCCCTTAGAATTGTCCCAACTTTCCCCCCCTTAGCGGCGCCCCTGGGGTCCAGCCACTTTGGTTTTTGTTTTTCAGTTAGAGCTTAAGGATCTTGTCCATAATGCACTTCATACCCTGCTGAACCTCAACACTGCAACCCAACAAGTCGTATGCAATTTTGAAACTTTCAAAATACCCCAATCAATATTTAAATGAACAAACAAAAAAAACATTTAATAAAAAAAAAAAAAAAAAAAAAAACGATTGGGGGGGGACTTTAAACAGCAGCATGTTTGTTGATTTAGCCTCAAGTCAGCCAAACAACCGTGTTAAAATTAAGGGTTAAATTCTAAAGGTCAGTTTGAATGACATTTAATACAATGCATTCAGGCAAACAAAATGTCTTACTGCTTCGAGCCAGGAGGTGGTGCCCTCTCTCAGAGTAGCGCCCAGCTGTGACATTTGGTGGCTCTTGACCGCTCTTACACAAGGAGGTGTGTGATGTCACCTTATTCCATCCTTAATCAGGATGAGTACGTTGAGGAGGCAGCTGGCACTAGAAACTACCCAACTCACTGAAGGTTAACCTCACTGTGTCATGGAAAAACAGAGCTAACTGCTGAAGATCTCTTGTTTTGTTTGTAGTCACTAGGCATAAAGGAGGATACGATGGTTGGTTAGTCTGATCCAGCTCATTACTGGGGCTGCAAGACATGCATATGGCGCATGCACAATAATCACCAGGGCTTTAGATGACGACCGAAACATTTGTCCGGATGCTGACTTTTTGGTACTATATGGAAGTTTACTTATGCCCACAATTTGCTAAGCAGATAAGTAATGCACCTATATCATTAGTAATCATTAGTATGTTGTCCCTTTCTTCACGGCCAAGTCAGTGCTTATCGGTTCCATGATTTACCAAAAAAGTAGCATGTACCGAATTTAATACGGCGAATTTATACGGATTATTAACTTATGGACATCACAACATCCATCTTATTAATATTTTAGGCACATGACTAGATTTGTTTACCAAATAGGGTATATCGAAATTGCATTGTGCATAAATCACCAGAGCTTTAGATGACAAGGGAAACATTTGGCCAAGCGGCAGCTTTTCGGTGCTATATGGACGTTTATTTACGCCCACAAAGGAAATAAGGTGTCAAATATACTGCTGCAGGAGTGGCCTGGCAGGCCTGACACAGGTAAAGTAAACAGAATCTACGCTGTAGCCTGATGCCTGTAGTGCGTTTCTGGGGAGGTACGCCTCAGGCTAGGGTACGCAGCTCCCTATGGCATTGGTTCAACATAGAAGTATGAATCAGCCTTAAGGGACACTATAAAATAGCCTTAGCACACTTGTCCACTGCACCAGATGCCATACTCTTGGTACTTCAAAAAGTATGGTACTACTTATATTGATTTTACCTATAAAAACTTCTACTGATGCTAAATGACATCATCACAGCACAAAGTGGGGGTATTTCGTACTGAATTAAAAAAATGGCCATAGAATAGGGCCGGATGATGCGTGATATTACTACCAACATCACATGTTATGCATATGCAATTCTCACATCGCTATGACCATGATAGTCGCTATGACCATTGGGTTGAGATCAGGCTTTTTCTTACTGTCCAAAGTACAGGCAGGGATTTAAGTTTTGGAAAACATTTTTAACCCGTCATAGGAAACAAAACATAACAAGCTTTGAAATCCTTTGCGAGATTATCTAGTATATGTTTTTTAAAGTTTACCGTTGCTGCTTTTGCATGAGCTCAGCTTGTGCTCTCTGAGCCAATCATAATCATATTCATCCTTGCTGTTCAAGTCATTCCTAGATTTATTTAAAAATAAATTTCTCAGAAATCAATTTACTTTTTCGTGTTATATCGTAGTATTTATTGCAAAAAATACTGACATTTGAAAATGTTCCAATATCATGCAGCCCTATTATAGAAAACCCTTTTTATCAAGTCATACATCACTGAATCTGTTACTCTGACCAGATCACCATTAAAGCTCTTAATTTGTCCATGCATCAGTTATTATAGCTTTATTTTTACTTTATTGATTTTTGAGTCCATAACTATGCTTTTTCTAGATGATTGACTTAGAATGTATTTTGTGTTCGTGAGGCGGTTTATTTGGGGAACCAGATTGACAATAAACACATTTGGAAGTTCAGCCCCAAAGTACCGAAAAAGTACCCCAGCTGGATTTGTACTTTTGGTCGTGGTGTCTGACCGCAAATCAATGGGAAAGGGAAATTACCAAGGACTTGGTGCAGTGGAAAAGCAGCCCTATTCAAGCCCCTGACCATTAGCTCTCCCAGCGAGCACAGTGAGGACACGTGGGAAACACTATTGGGTGGTGTACTATGGAGATATGGCCAAGATGGCGTGCTGGGGTCGGAGGAGTCGTGAGCAGATGGCACAGCACACCTGGCAGGCAGAGTCGGCCCCGTGGTTGACATCCGGAGGTGGGATGGCGATCTTCAGGCTGGGTGGTTTCTTGCTCTGCAGACGGGTGTTAGAGTGGCTGTACCCATGTGATGCCATCCTGCAGCACCCACCGTCTGCTGAAGAGAGAGAGCAGTCTCAGTGGAATTTATGCCACTTAAGCCATAATCACTCGTGTTTCATTATAAAAAGGACGGCAAATGCTTAAAATTGCCAGTGACTTTTCTAACACTATGGAAAGGTACTCATCCTTGATATCTTCAAACTTTAAGAGGGTGAAAATCTACTCTCTGCTTACAGTAAAACACAAACAAAATCAGAGGCAACCGCTCAAAGGAAATATGCTGAAACAATGCGCTGAAAATCTGTGAGGTATTGCTAAAAGGCATCTAAAAGGCCTTCGATACACACTTCTTTGAGGTTCTCATGAGGCAGGAAATGAAACAGTTTATGTTCTTCCAAACACACTGTGCAAAACCTTGTTCTCTCTAGAAGTCTAACAGATAACACAATATAACTACATGACGCTCCACAAAAATATCAAGAATTATTAATGGGCTGCAAAACAGAGAATAAAATAACAGTTCTAAAGCCCATTTGTAAGGGTGCACATCAGACATTGTTCCTAAAAATCTAATTTTACTATTAAGGAGTGCGAGTTTCTTTTGTAATGTACTAATGAAAAATAATGTGTGGCATATTGTGTACTTATAGGCAGATATTTAAGGTCATGTGAGTCATGTAACTCATCCAAATAAAGAAATAAGTAAAATCAACATAACTATAATAAATCCAAAATGATGCAGGGGAAAAATATTTCCATCATGCTGTATTTGTTCTTCATGTTCAATCTAACATAAGTAGAGATGCGCTGATTATCAGCCAACTAATCGGTAACAATTGTAACCATCAGCCAATGGTTAAAAATGAGCCGATATAATAATACTGACTGACTTTACTTATTCCTGGGAAAGTCAATTTGAATGCAGCCCACGGTTAATCACCCATCCGCCTCATGTGCTTTGGGTTTGAGGAAACCGAATACTCCTCTCATTATTACAGCCACATCAATTATGGAGCCATTTTGGATTTTTGCGGTTAAACATCCATCAGAGTCACTGAGGAGGGACCAGTGACAGCTGCATGACTCAGACGGACGCTTTACCGAACCATACACCTTCACAACTTCAGAAAATGGGGGAAAAGCCTGGTAAGTGTTAGGCAAATTCTGCACAGATTATAATATAAGTGTTCCGCCAGCATACAGCTTATAACCCAGAAGTGGCATAAACATGGCCCATGGATCCAGTACTGCTCAGTAGAACAGCAACGCCTTAGCATCAATGCTACCGCGAAGAGCGTGCTCAACATCACACCTGCAAACAGACACCCGGCGTTACCACATCCAAACGGAACATTTACCTTTATTTAGCAAACGCTGTCATCCAAAGTGAGGCACATAACACGTTACAAACACACAGCTGTCATGCTTGGAAAGTGCTGTTGCGACACAATAATATACCTTCAAGACTTTAAAGTCAACATTATAAAAAAGACAAATTCTTTCTGGCAAAACTAAGTAGCTAGCATCTGTGTCAGAAGTGGGCAGTGGGACTGTAATCGCTGTCACCTCACTGCAAACGTTTGCAATAAAACCACAAATGGAATCAGCCTACCTAATCTTCTGTCTACAAGCTCTAATGATTCATTAGATCGTTCCCAGGTACGTCTCTACCAGTTGAGTAGCTTGAGTCATAACTGCCCAACTTTTTAAGCTAACAAATAAAACAGGCAGAACGGTTCTCCTGCTCCAGGATCCATTAAGCACTCTAGGTTTCCCAGCTATCATCAAAGCTGTTACAGATCAATGAGAGGTCTTCCTTACAGCTTTTGAAATGCCCGACCTGGGGAAAGATGACACCAGCAAAGTCAAAGTCCATCTGCCTGGCGGAAAATAAGTCATTGGTGAGGGTGGGGGGCAGCAATATTCTCCAGAGGGACTTCCATATAATAGAATTTCAGGGGCTCTTACGAGTTCACAGCCTAATGGAGTCACAAGTATGGAAATATAAATGACCATCTTAGCCACAGTCTAACCAATATGCATTATTCTTCAGGGTTTACGTGATAACTTTCCTGTAATGGAATACAGAAAAACCAACCTCAAATTCAAAATGTCTTCTTATACAGCCACCTATTAGCTACCAGAAAATGGCAGTCATATTATCCAAATATGGTTGATCTTTGAGTTACTAGTTCATGGTCTGAAAAAGAAAATTCTTACCAAATTGGTCAAAACAAAAAAAAATACCCTATATTGTCATTAGGTATATTAAATGATTAGCATGACCAATAGCTTAAAAAAGAAGCTATTGGGAAAGTCTGAAAATGGCGTAATAGTTGCAATGCAATGGTTGGATTTTTCACAGGAACTTGGGTGCCTGCATTCATTATAACCAAATCGAAGGGATTTTTATCAGTTCTGAGAACATGGTGGGGTTTCCCACATCACCGTCAGCAGATAAAAGACTGTGTTCAAGGAGTAGACTAGACTTATTCCTGCTTTATTCTACATGCTAACCGGCAAGCAGAACAGTAAAAAGCAGAAATCCACCAATATTAAAATCTTTTACCATTTCCGGTTTGTCAAATTATCTAAATCACCATGGTGATTGTGCTGGCCTTGACATTTACCCATGACACTGATCCCAGATTCTGATATTATATTTTTAACGATCGTCTGCAAAAGGGGGCCTTAACCTCATTTCACTGGCAAGCATAATGAAAACATTGAGACGTGTCACTGTTCTTATCCGTACACTGGAATTCCACTGGAAGGTGGAAGAGCCACATCCAAGCCTGTTATTTGCTGCCACCATGTGTCCTGAGAAGGCCCGTCACACACCTTTCCCATTATAGTAAATCCCACAGTCTGCCACCTTTTAGACACGCTTTTTAACCAATCATATTGCAGTGATCCTTTCGCTATATGGCTGTAACTTGCTGGTTAGAGAAAAGCATGCTAGGAATATAAAGGATAACATTCTTTAGCGCAAGTACACATATCAGACACTTATTTTCATGTTTTGCTGTATTTCTCTTGTCTCTCTGATGCTTGTAGCAGTGCAATACATGTAAATAGTTGTTTTTATGGGGGTAAAGGTTGGTAAATGTGCTAGCAGGGCAGTAGAGCTTGGTAAGTCTCCCAGAGTGTGTTTTACCAATAAAGTTGCGTTAAGCTGTACTGAGTTTTCAGTGCCATTGAAATCGGTGAATGTTACAATATTATTAACTTGCTGACACCTGAAACACCACATAAAGCAGCTTATCCTCTTCATGCCGAGTTCACGATATTAACTTGACACACCCAAAGCCCTAAGACTGTCTGCTCCTGTTGAGGCAAGCTCTCCATTATCCTCACAGCAATGAGTTTACACATCACAGACTGTGGACATGACACCCTTCAAAGCAGACACTCGTCTTTCAGGACAGAAGAAACCGACCAAATCAGGCTTCTTTCGATAGGCTGGTAATGCACTACCCAGGTACGTTATACAATAGAAGAGCCATTCTTTACTCCTGCATCCAGCCGGGAATGGTAGGAATGTAGTTTTCTAGGTTTTGGCATCTTACTCGCTTAGACGTTCACTGATATGCTTGATATGTGCTGGGCATCTGCTTCTGCAGAAGTGACTTCTCCTCATAATGTGAAGACAGCTAGCAAGACCAAGAAGCCAGACAGTGACACTGCCTGCCATCCATCCATCCATCCATCCATCCATCTTTCAAATGTTCACCCTGGTCAGGGTTCTGGGTGCCTGCAGCCCGGCCCAGGCTGCACAGGGCTAAGGTGCAGCCTGGACAGGATACCAGCTGTGACACTGCTGATATGAATAATTGAGCATTGTAATAATTCTCATCAGAGAATGGAGACCTTTATATCCGATTGTTGGACCAAAAAAAGCTATTAATACTGTGGTTTAAAACAAGCAGAACACACTCAACAGGGCCTCATTTACTGAAAATGTACATAGTCTTTAATTCTAAAGATTTAATTCTAAAACAGGAGAAGTAAGCATTTTGATTATTCATATCTAATAAATTTCTTGCTTAGGGCCCACAGAAGAGGAAGAGGAGACAAGTTTCAGTGCAGTGTCTGTAGTGTTAGGTTCCTGTTAGTGTGAGAAGCTTGGTGTATATTAGGATAAAAAAAAAAGAAGATATAAAACGATTTGATAGACCAAAGGAAGCATTTAGGTGGCACTACACCTAAATGTTCTTAAGACAAAATAACTTTACACCATTATAAATTTGAGAATCAAAAACAAAAACCCAGTGGGGTCTGCATTTATTTTTTTGCTACACTAATGAATGCCCTGTAAAGTTATATACAGTTATTAATGTCACTAACTGGTATTCAAAATTAGAACCCCCCCCCCCCCCGGCGCAATGGTTTAAAGTCTCCTGAAGTCCTGCATAGGATAAGCGGTTAAAGAAAATGGATGGAAGGATGGATGGATGAAGCTCCCTTTTGTAAACAAATTTACCAGTGCATTAACTGGAAAGTTTTGTCTCTTATTTGATCACAATGAAACAAAATGGAGTGAACAAAAAGTACCCTTGTGTACGCCATGGCCCTTAAAATTCAGCATACAACAGGGCGTCACTAGTTCAGCAATGACAACTGTTCAGTTACCCATTTCCTGTTTCTTTAACCAGTACTGCAGAAGCCGTTCTTTTACATAATTCCATCTCAATTTAGCTATTCCCCCATGCATTTTACATTATCAAAGACACTGCTGACCCATAACCACACGACTGAATACACAGCCAACGGATGTGTAGTCAATAAAAATAGAAACAGGCTACTATTGCATGATTTCCTTTAGGTGTTGCTTCATAAACCAAGTCATGCAATTTCTGCAGTTTTCCTTCCCTTTTATCTAAATGCAAAATGTATTAAACAAGAAAAGAAAATGCAGACTGTCTTTGCAGGATGAATGCGTGATGAAACTTAGAGGGGAAATAGGAGAAAAAGAACATGCAAGAGAACAAACATGTCCAAACAATGACATTTGCAAGTTGTGTGTATATTAAGTATATATATTTAAGGCTCTTCAGAGCTACTTCTTAAAGCCATAGTCATATTAAGAAGACTTAGAAGTTCACTCAGTACTTGACACATCTCACAATACTCATTCATACACTGCACTTTACCTCGTGTCTATTCAAGCACACCTGCAGCCAGCTGATTGGCCAAACAGCATCACAGCAACGTCTAAACAGGAACTGAACTTGCCCAGGGCCACAGCAGGAGATCACTGGAAGGCGTTTCTTTCAGCCGCCGTGCAAAAGTCATTACTACAAAGCATGCATTTGCATATGGGTAGGCAAGAGGACAAAAATGACCAATGGGGAATTTGAAATGCAGCTCAGTGCATGTTTGGGCTTGTATCAAACACCACCCCCCACCCCCGTGCATTTAGTACAAGTTTGTTGCTTGTGATCCAGGTTAATACTAACACTATATACTCTTTTGGTTTAGCTGTCAAATTCTTTTGCCATCCTCTTTCCAAGTGTAACAAAAAAAACAACTTTATGTGAAAGAGATCTGAGAGCATTTATGAGTAGTTAATAATCCCAAATAATTAAATAAAGAACCTTGACATATGGAGCTGTGTTAGCGCAGTAAAGCCAACAGGCATGTTGGGACATGGCGCCTGGAGACGTACGATCGGGAAATGTTTGAGCCAAAGAACAGGGCAGCAAGCAAGCACAGCCTCTAATGGGTGAATGATCTTACTGTTTATCAAAAGCCTAACATGGTCATTGTATTAAATGTTTGTATTTGTGTCACCAATATTATGAAAGATTGATTGGTGAGGCATAGTTACTGAGAAATTATAATCACTAATCACGATTACGAGGTTTAAGACGACATAAAACCTAGGTTTTCACACTTCTATTCTAAGCGAGAAGAGCAATTATGGCCCAATTTACTTAATATCATTCTGTTAACTGCTCACAAGTTCTGGTAGAATGAATTATAGCTGGACTGTCATGTCCTGAATTTGAAATTTCTGCTTTGGATTCAGCAACACATTAAATGCCTTCAAAACTAATGTTTGGCTGCACAGACCAGCACTCGGGCGTACAATGTGTTTGCCGTACGCGCCCTCGGCCCCTGTTACTTTTAAGGGAAAGGCCCAGACGCCAGCTGTGTGCGGCACCCCTTCTACAGTTTCTTCTTCCTCTAGGTTTTTACGCAGGTGTTTCTGTGGCCTAACAGAAAAAAATCCAGCTGCTGGCACCCAAGAATGGCAACAATTGTTTTTATCATGGAAACATGATAATAAATTAGTACTTTCAGTCAGAGCCTCGTTATAGAAAAAAGGAAATGACAGATATAGTACTCACAGTGGGTGGCATTACCAGATGCTGTCAAGCACTTTGTTGGTTACTATTGAAGACCAATAAAGCTATACAGTCATAAAGGTATAGGTCACAGTTATCAGTCACACAGTGACAGTTGATAGGATAAAACACTATTTTAAACGTGACCTTCCCACAGCTACAAAGATCAGCATAAGGACAAGTCAAAACATATCAAGCAGATATATATTATACACACACACACCACATATACATATATATCCATGTGACTTAGAGGAGGCCAAGAGATCTTTTGCTTTGAAAACCACTATAAATGGGCAGGAGGCAAACATATATACTGTATATATATGTATGTATGTTTGCCTCCTGCCCATTTATACAGTCAATGTAAATAGAAATACGACTGAACCACCCAGTCATTTTACACCATTGGATAGCAGGTATACTGCAATGTCTCAAACCATTGAAATAGCAGCAATTTTGAATTTGTGCTCATCTAGAAACGCGAGATCAAGATATTTTACATATTAAAGAAATATGCGTGTTTTTTGGGGAAAACCTTTCATGGCGAGAGTGGTCTGCCAGAAAATACACTGATGAGTAAAGCACAAAGTAGGTCATACCAGCTATGGGCAACGAAATAAAGTATTGTGGTTGAAACTAATTTCCACCACGATGGTAAACACAGCACGAGTTGAAAGTGAAAGACGTCGCAGGAAAAATTATTAAATCCTATGTGAAGAAGATTGGTAAGAAAACAAAAAATTAAAAAACGACCAAGTACTAACATGATATCCGACGCATATATAATGAATTCAGGAATTATTCCGTTCAGTTAAAAATTTTAGGTAATGCTGTATTATAACAGGTGTTATGCCGAAAAAGGCATCCCTGCCGTAGAATGCATGCCTGTCTCTAAATGACCGATTGGTCGCTGATCTGAAACGAGTTGAGCTACTTTGTCGAGTAAGGCTACCGTAGTGCTAATCAACAGCCCCCAAAAACCCGTAAAACTCTAACCCTAACTCCAAAAAACCCCCAAAAAACCTCTAAAACCCTAACCCCCAAAAACCCCCAAAAACCCCCTAAAACCCTAACCCCCAAAACACCCTAACCTCTAAAAAACCCATGACCCCCAAAAAACCCTTAAAAGCTCAACTCGTCGGAACACCGGCATGCATTCTAAGGCAGGGATGCCTTTTTCGGCATAACACCTGTTTGTTAGGAGCCGTTAAGTTAAGTATTCGCATGTCTTCTGAAGGAAATATTCCGTTCTATAATATCACAGGCTACCGGAATGTGAAAAAATTCGGTAATCGTATGAAATATTTCGTATGTCAGTAAATTATTCGGTACCACAGTAAAACAAATAAATTCAATTTCAAAAGCAAAGGCGTACGTTTTCAATAAACGCTTTAACGTTCAACCAAAGTATTTTAATCTTTATTAATGTCATTTTTTCTTAAGTTTTGTTTGGTTATATCGCAAAGTTTCCGAAAGCCCTACGTAGCTGGCACATAAAGGACATCTGCAAAAGTTTTTAAATTACAGTTCATACTGTGGACTGTGCTGTACAGATGTGAAAGGTGATCCTGAACCGGACAAGCGGTTACAGAAAATTGATGGATGATTAAGATACTATTAAGTTTCTGCGGAAAACCACCGCTTTAAGTGCCCGGTTCTCACCGGTACGCAGTACCAGCACATCTGTCTTTTTCTCTTTACACCACTGTCACCTCCAATATTTCCTGGTACTGAATAACAAGTGGAGTACCAGTACCTGCTTTCCCCCACTTAGATCACTGTTTAAAGCCTTCAGCTTTTCCAAATAAGTTTACTCCCTAACTAAGGATCACCCAGGGACAATCCTATGATACGCGAACCGCAAGCAAGTAGCCGCAAACTCTTCACGTTTCGCTTCAAATTCATAAAAAACATTCAGGATTTTAATCACTGAGAAAACCTGTCCGATCTGCAGACCGCTTGATAATTTCTAAGTTAATAGTTTGAGGTAACTATATTAACCTTTATTGCAATAATAGTCTTTATGTTTCACTGTTAAACTGAAACTACACCGTAACACCCGTATCTCGCTCCTTACCTTCCAGATTGGATCCTCCACCTCTTATATTTTCCAAGTATTTTGTAATGAAGTCAGCGCAGCACCAATTCGGGCGCTTTCACTTCCTTTCGGAGCGGCGCTCCGGCTGTACAGGAGGGGTTTGCTACGGCCTGCCTGGACGGGAAACCGCGGTCCGCTCAGCACACGTCGCCTGTGGCTCCCGAGGGCGATTTCAGCGCAGAAACCATCGCGTCCGTTTCTACTCCGCTACTCCCGGAGGTCTCGAGCCGCTCCTCGTTACGTCACAGCGCCAGCAGAATACCCGGCACGCGCGAGTGGCGAGTTCCGGGAAGGTATGAAAACTTAATGGGACGGCTGAGATGTGCCGATGATCAAAGGACACGACGAATCGTTTCTGGTCGTCTTTATTGGTTTAAATTATTTGGAAAACTGTTTACTCTCGATGGGATGTTCCACATTCTCTTGATTTGGCAAGTTTCGTTTTTTTTTTTTCACAAAACTGAAGAACACAGTTGAGTAACTGCCGGCATATCTGGCGTGACACTCACGCTTTCAAACTCTAAAGCTAACGCAGAAAATCTTACGGCAAATCAATATTATTCCATTATAAACCTAAAATGAGCTATATCAGAAGCTTTGGGGTACTTTGCAAACCTTACATGCAAGGTAAAAAAAACTATCGTTGTCAATGCGTGTATAGACTTGTCTCGAAAATCCAATGCCAGCCAGCTGACCAAAGTTGGCAACCCTGTAACTGTTGGATATTAAGTATGCTCAAAATATGATTCCACAGGCGTGGTTCTTGAATTAAGAAATTAACTTGTGCTTGAGTAATGTGACTGTTGGGCAGGGCTATTTGTAATAGTGGAAGAAGAATTTCCTGTTGGTAGGCCCCGTTAGTTTCGTCATCAATGTATGTAAGATATACGTTGCTCTTATGTTATTGTTCTTGCTATGTTTCATATTAATCGATCAAATTAAAGCATCTAATTTTAGAACCTCACGATCTACCAGAATTGGTAATAACCTCTCTTGAAATAGTCACTCGTTAAGGATTAAAGCTGAAAGACAATAATATTGCAGTTAATACGGGAACGTCACAATGCATACGGTAACCGTGAAATATAATTACCTGTAACGCATATAATAAAATTAGCCATTTTCAAAATTTGATGAAACTTGTCTAACATGACAGCGCCACCTGGCAGATTTAATATGACTTGCACCTTAAATCTGTTAGATTTGGCTGCCCTTGACCACAAGTCAAATGTCTTCCCATTATGCAGTGGCGGACTCAGATTGTTGGAAGGACAGGGGCAAAAAAATAAAAAGGGCACCAACTGCATGGCGTGTGACCACCCTCGTGCCCAAACACACACACACAAGTAGATACACCATGCATGGTGAAATACTGTTCTTAGGTCACAGTTATCGGTCACACAGTGACAATCAATAGGATAAAACACTATTTTAAACGTGACCTTCCCACAGCTACAAAGATCAGCATAAGGCCAAGTCAAAACATATCAAGCAGATATATATTATACACACACACACCACATATACATATATATCCATGTGACTTACAGGAGGCTAAGACATCTTTTGCTTTGAAAACCACTATGTATATGTTTTCCCCCTGCCCGTTTCTATAATCAAGGTAAATGGAAATACGACTGAACCACCCAGTCATTTTACACCATTGGATAACAGGTAAACTGCAATGTCTCAAACCATTGATATAGCAGCAATTTTGAATTTGTGCTCATCTAGAAACGCGAGATCAAGATCAAACAATACTGTGTTACCCAGTTGTAAGGTGGAAGGCCATCCATTAGGACAGCTCCTCACATTCTCACACATGGAGGTACACATTATACAGCACTGCATCGCATTTCATCCACTGGAGGGCCATCCATCAGGACAGCTCCTCACATTCTCACACATGACCGGACACCCTATATAGCACTGCGTCATATTTTATCCACTGGAGGGCCATCCGTTAGGACAGCTCCTCACATTCTCACACTTGACCGGACACCCTATACAGCACTGCATCATATTTTATCCACTGGAGGGCCATCCATCAGGACAGCTCCTCACATTCTCACACTTGACCGGACACCCTATACAGCACTGCATCATATTTTATCCACTGGAGGGCCATCCACTAGGACAGCTTCTCACCCCCACCGGCCGCCCAGGACTGCAGTTCGACACCCCTGGTTTAGACTATTGTAAGGACACCTTATAGCAGGGGTGTCGAACTGCAGTCCTGGGGGGCCGGAGCCCTGTGTAGCTTAGTTCTTTCCCTGTTCCACCACAAATGATTCAGCTCAACAGCTATGTGGTAATTAGCACAAGAAGTTGAATCAGGTGTGTTAAACCAGGGGAAACCCAAAAATGTGCAGGGCTCCGGCCCTCCAGGACTGGAGTCTGATACCTGTGCCTTAGGGCAGGGCTATTCAACTCTGGCCCTCGATTCCAAATCCAGGCCTTGTTTTCAGTTCTCCCAGATAGTTCGTTTAATAATTACTGATTCTGATTGGTCAGAGACTTCACACCTGGCTCACAGGTGAAGGAAGGCTGGAAAATCACCAGGGCTCGGACCTCAAGGACCGTGAGTTGAATAACCCTGCTGTAGGGCACTGCATCACATTCTCTCCACTAGAAGAGCACTTATTGAGAGATTTCAAAGTCATTGTGTATTTTGTAATACTGATGACCTAAAGTTCTTCAAAATGATAAACTAGAAACTAAACTCTTAATTGGCCACCTACCATTCATATTAAACATGTCATCCAATTGGCCAGGGGCAAAGCAGACTTTTTTTGGTCACTGGTATGCCTCGTACGGACTATACGGAGATCTGATGTTCGGATGTACTGCGTTGCTCTATGTTTCCTTTTAATAATTGAAATGGATTTTAATCACTGATATGGTCCGTCTCTGATATGATGTATGGATTCACTGGGAGAATGAAAGCGGATAAGCACTGGCATGGACTTCTAAGACGTGACGTATTGTTACTCCATGATGTCAATGATATGGATTTTATAAGCACTGATATATACTTTGTATTACTGGTGTGGCATTTCTGACTGATTTATTACTGACTTTTTAAATGTGACATGTTGTTGCACTATGATGTGATTGATACGGACTTATCACTGATATGCACTTTAAATAATGTGTTGCAATTCGCATTTTACTAGCTCTGTTTTTACTTACATGGCCTTATTTTTATCTTTGATATTTAGGTCATTTTAAGCTGCAAAGTTTAACGGTTTGTTTCAAACTGAATTTCGTTGTATATTAATATGCAATGACAATAAACTGTCTATAAGATTATGGTATCACCAAAAATCCGTCACATTGTAATATTAATCTATTTGGTGAAATGCTGACTTGTCACTATGAAAGTATTGACTGCTGTCACTTTGAATCTGAATACTATTTACAGTATTTATGTCCTGAAAAGAAAAAGTTCTTGCTGTTCTTGCTGTGATTATTTATCCATTCAGTTGTTCAAAAAGTTTAATCTGGATCAGAATTATCCTGATTTGGAAATTCCATGTTTTGCTCTCCAGGATCAGGTAAATCCATCCTACTTTTGTGCCAGATTCTCAAAGCAAAGTTGACATTTCAAGAGACAGAAAATAGCACAATAAAATAATACAAATATCCTCTTCTATATTCAATTTCTTTTAAACAAACCCCCTCATCTGCCCAGGTCAGGCCAGGTTGGGGAGCATGCGCTGATGCAGCGTGTTGCCGCTCCTCGGGATTCCAGCCGGCAATCCCCCAGGCAGATACAGGGTCCAGTCCCACCCAGGAAGTGGCCATCCATCTGCCGCAGTCAGGTGTTACATGGGCGTCCCCTTGGCCTGGTCCAGCTGCTTGGGTCCTCAGCAATGATACAATGATGCTTAGAAAGATATCGGGAGCACCACACACCCCTTTCCAGCGACCTCATGACCCCCCATGCTCTCCCAGTCCATCTGCTGACTTCATAGGAAGAGTCACCACAGACATGAATGCCGCTGCCGAGGAAAATGAATCTCTCGATGAGGTTGATATTCTCCCCGCAGACAGACACACTACTGATGGCTGTGACCAAGAAGTCATTAAAGGCCTGGATCTTGGTTTTTATCCAGGACGCCCGCAATCCCAGACACTCAGACTCCTCGCTCAGTCTTTCAAGAGCCCCAATCAGAGCCTCCATTGACTCAGTGAAGATCACAACCAACGACAAGTAAATGAAAACAAATATACATAATTCACAAATATATTATGAATATGTTTTAAATCATAAAAAAGTCAAATGTCACACAGTTAACAATAATAAGGTACGTAATCATTACTTTTGAGTGGTTCATCTCTGGTGATTGTGTCTTTGTAATTAATGTACAGTGAAGAATGACAGATCAAATGTATGATCAAAATAAAATAGACAAAATGTCTATCTTCAAAAACAAATGTTTTCATTATTTTGAATTAATTTATGAAGAGGAAATATGCTCTTATTGAATCAGGTCAATTCTGAAACTGAACTATGCAATATTAGTGTTTTATTTGAATTAAAAAATTCAAAAGCCTGCGGTTTCAATACTACTAGTGATACAGGCTTAATATTATGGATTTTTCTACAAGTTTTGTGTAGTGAAAACTAGTTGTTTTCATGGGAATCTGAGAGGGTGACCAGGGAAAATTTTCTCAGACTGGGTGATTTGATATGGAATCACCATAAACATTTAGTACAAACTACCAAAACATTTGGGATGTCATGGCAGGTATGTATATTTATACAAACTATTATAATGGAAAACTTTTATATGAGAAAATGGTCTAACACCAAGCCAAATTTAATACACCATTATGAGTTTAACACATTAGGTCGTATAAAATATAAAAAAAATATTGTACTCTAACCGACACACTTTGTATGTAATATATCATCATATGCATACTACTTTCTTGGCTATAAGTTATGTTTGGAATGGTTAAACATCAGTGCATGCTTTCATAATTCTGTAAAGAAGAAAATAAAACACAGAATATGTAGCTTAATTGAAGCAACGTCTTTTAATAAAGTTCATTTTCAATTTTCATAACACACAACTACCTCATTGAATTTAATTTTCTGACAGATAAAAAAAAAAAAAAATCCAAGGATAGAGTTAACGGAATTTATTTCTCTGAAATTAAAACTGACAAAACTAGTCAGTAAGATTTGAACAATGTACCCGCCAAACTTCATCAAAGGTGTTTTGCACATATAAATCGCGGATAGATATTACAAAACAACTCATTAGTACCATGTGAAAATCAGCAACAAATCCCCCCATGTTAAATTCAGTGTTTAAAAGATTAGATTTATAGCGCAGTGCTATGGAATGACAACTTTCTCTAAATGCTTCGGATTTATAGCCATGAACATAACTTTAAGATCCAAATAGCTATTCGTTACTTTAAATTCAATGCATCTGCTTCCGGTTATCAAATTTGGGCACAACCTGTTACTTCCTGTTCCATGTCAATTTGGACATTTTGCGGGAAAGTATAATTCATTTTCCACTTCATACAACAACAATCGATAACTGTTTAGTGCCTGAAAAAAAAGATTGATGGCCAAAAGACCTCAACACAGTAGACAGACAGAAAGCAACCACTGACATTTCACAATTTCTTTTCATTCCCCAAGTGAATCGGGCTCATATTCATTCATACCCCACACTTTGGACTGTTTGGGTCTATGAGAATTATTCTGCAAACATTTATAAAACCCATAATGTACATTTGCAAGGCAAAAATGTATTGAGACCATATAGCATAAAAAGGGCTGTGCATGCACCATATTAACTGACTCCTGTCAGCTATATCCCTCCGCATCCTCTATACTTTGCAGACAGCTGCAGCCTTTCAACAACCTTCACTGTAATTATCCATTAACCCCGAGTGCAACAACCCCAATTCAGTTCTATTTTTTGAACTCTTGACCATAGGAATTAGGTAGGAGAAGATTGAGTGAAAACAGATTAAAGCTGACAGACTGAACACACTTAAAAGGATAGAATAATTCCAGTTAAAAGCAGAAAGTGCATGAGATTAGTAGAATGCTAATTAAAAATCAGCAACTCATGTTAAACCATCCTGTCCTTTGGAACTATAATTTCACCAGAACAAGAGACTGACAGGACAGAACAATAAAGATAATGGAAACAAAAACATTCCAGTAAAGCAGCCGCCACAAACGATTCTGTGGAGGTGGTGGTAGCGTTGTGGTCTGGTTTACAGGTGGAGCTCAGTGTGGTTAGTGGATGGACCTTCTGGTCGTGGGCAGCCAGACTGATGCTGCGGCTCACAGCTTGGACTGCAGTGGCTTCAGGTACTTGTAGTAGGACTCATGGACCTGCATGATAATTTAAAGTAAATTTAACTAAAATGTTACCTCTCCTTCAGCCATATGGTAGTATACTGGACAGGCAGGTGGAAGATGGATTGATATCTCAATTGCAGGATAAGATCTGAGATGTAGCCCTTAGGGATATCTGAAGCACTGAATGAATGCTCAGTTTTGCTACATAATTCACGCCACCTACCTCTGTCCGGTTAAGGGGTGACTTCTTCGCCCACTCGAACATGTGCTCGTAGACATTGCCGTCGTAACGACCCAAGGAGGAGTTCAGCATCTCATCCCGGTAATCGAAGGCGTCCACCAGCGCCACGGCGTTTGTCCTCAGTTGGGCGAGTAGCTCCTTCGTCCGCTGGGAAATCTGGGACACCTGGGGCATGCTCAGCAGGCCGGCCTGAACCACACGCGGCGGGAGCAAGGGGGACGGTGTTTATGGAACCACGCGACACAGCAATTCTGACACCACGAAGAGATATACAGTACTGGTACAAATGTAGGCAGTCAAAGGAAATGTTTCAAGGTATTTGTGTAGTAAATGTACATTTGCTCAGAAGGAAAAAAAAAAAAACACATTTTAACATTAGAACACATGCAAAAAAAAAAAAAAAAGTAACAAAGACTAACAAGAATCCAAGAATTCCAAAGAGTTACTGATGTCTACTTGGATGGCTAGATGAACAACGCTTCAGTTCCCAAACCTCTCCTCAGGGGCACCTCAGCCAATCCATGTGTTTATTAAATTTCACAACCAGCTAACTGTTGAACTGATAAAAGTGAATGAGGTACCGATTGGCCATACTACGTGGGGTAGTAGTCAAGAAAAAGAAAATACATGGGTATATTGGATGGTTGCTACAAACACAGGGATGACTTTAGGAGAGGCACTGAAATGGTTAAGCTGACACTTCGACAGACATATGATTTTACACCAACACGAAGATATTTTAAACATTCTTTGACTGCCTAAGACTTGCGCAGTACTGTATATTCCCTGCAATGGATGCTTGTGCCATCCACAGCGTGCCCTCTGCTGGCATAAGCTTGGCATTACAATATGCCTGGGTGGAAAACCGTTCACAGAATGCAGATGGACTTTCAGAACAAGAGTGTAAACTACATATGGATGATTTTCAGCCATTTTGGTTTCATCGGTCTTACAGTGCAGGTTTCGGGAGAGTATCAGAGTATCCGTACCAGCAGGAAGTCCCCGGTGTGTTGGGCAATGCCATCCAGGGCATAGAGCAGTGCCAGGGTGCTGAGGACGGAGTGCACCCCCACGTCGGCTACCTCCCCCAGCTTGGCCACAAACATCTTCACCACCACATAGTGGCAGTGAGCCTGGGTGGGGGGGACAAAAGCAGGGAGATGATATGAAAGTGAGACCACCCCACTTGACCCCGGTGCCTGAAATTACTATCGTACGGAGAGCTGCTTACATGGGACGCCCTGACCAGGTCGATGGAGGTTTGGTTCCAGGCGTCCTCTTTGCTCAACCTACGCTGAAGTTCCGCCTGCAGGTTTTTGGCTGCCAGCTCCACCAGCCTGACGTGTGATATTTCACATTATTTAAAAGCAGCGATAGCCGCCAGCGTCGCGATGGGTCCATGTTGAAGAGGATTCCGTGAATTGGCGAGATACAGATCAACGACACTCTACAGCATCTACCCAAGATCTCGTTAAGTTGTGAACTTCTAGTATTAGTAAACATGCATAAAACAGAGTTGAGATGCACCCATTAGGAGCCTCGTTATTAAATAGTAATCCTACAGCTGTATAGTTGGGGTCACACATCAACAAGCCCCACCTTCCACTCCACCGTCTCTCACCTTGCGGCCCGAAGCTTGTAGGCCTCCACCAGGCTGGTCAAGTCATTGATATCGACCACCGTAGGCCTGGAGGACACCGGCTGGGCCTGTATCCGTTGCTGTAGCTCATTCAGGTAGGACACCATGCCGGAGACCTTCTGGCCCTTGCTGGCCTGTGTATAGCTCTTCACAAGGTACCTGCCGGCGACAGTGAAGAATCAGGTCGATGTAGACCCACCTCTACAAGGATCTGAGTTCCTTAAGCAGCATCTGCCTCAGTATGAGACCTGACCTGGCGGTCTGCAGCATCATGACCGTGTTCTCGCCCTCGTAGGTGCAGGTGGGCGTGAAGGTGACGTAGATGTCGGGCAGGCTGCTGCAGCGGGAGTAGCCGTGTCCCCCACAGGCCATGCGGCATACCTCGATCCCGCCGTTGGCCGCCCATGTGGTGAAGGCCTTCAGGCCTGCCGACAGGGCGTGCAGCTGGATAGATAGTGGGAGGAAGTACCATAAAAATGCTGTAGATGTTCCCCAGAGCACAGGAGAGGGGGGTGGACAGGGGGTGGGGTGGGTATATACCTCAGGCAGTTCGCTGAAGTCACCCTGATTGATGTCCCCAGTGATGCGGTGGTACGTCTGGCTCATGAACTGGCCCAAGAAGTGGAAGGCATAGGCTGTGGCCAGCAGGGGAAACAGCTTGTGCTGCTGGGTCTGGTAGTCCAGGATCTGAGGCTCGGGCTCACTGGAGGGAGAGGGGGGATCGGGAGCAGAAATGAGGGCCCCATCAGAAAGGACATGAAGGTAGGCTCCTCATCCAGAAGCCTTACCCTAACCCCATCAGAAAGGACAGACATATCATTCTGATCAGCTGACCTAAATACAAATGTTGCATTTCTATCATTAATTCCAATAAATACGGTTTCCATTGTGTCCATTGTGTTGTGCCGGACAACAGACCCACATGGAACATCAGTCACAAAACACGTTAAAATACAATCAAAAACTGCTATTGGCCTGATCCAGTAAAAATTAAAAAGTTGTGCAGGTTAAGGAGTTCCATTTCATTTGGCTTCAAAATCCCATCCATTTTCTAAACTCTAAACTAAAAGAGGGGGTAAAAAAAATTGTACCTTTGCTTATCACTGGGGCTGTTCCCTCAAGGGTCCATTTCTGTACCTTAAAAGGTACACTTACAAGGGTACAACCCCAGTGACAAGCAAAGGTACAAATTTACTTACCTTTATTAAGGTCATCCTTAATGCACTATAATTGCTATAATAAGAGTTTAAAATCTGGCACTCTACTACATGAAATTAATCCATTCTACACCAAGTGTAAGGATGTGTGGCTGAGCCTTCATGCCATAGGCTCATGTATGTCGCTTCCCCACTGACCCGGCTCGCAGCTCAGACTGGTGCCGCACGGCGCTGTAGCGGATGGCAATGGTGCAGGCCTTGGATAGGGCGCGGGCCGACTCGCCCACGATCATGGAGCGGATAAACACCATGGTGCCATAGGTCAGCTTGTCGCTCGGGGGTTTCCGGTAGGTGCCGTCCGGTTCCACCTGGAGCAGACGAACCCACATGGAACATCAGTCAACAAAAGACCTTAAAACACAAACCGAGAACTGCTATTGGCTTGATACAGGTTGTACAGGTTAAAGAGTTCAACTCAGTATTGTTACTTTATTGGCTTCAAAGTCTTCAATGACGAGGCGGGAATGACTCATAGTGTGTGGCTGTGCTCCAGAGACGCCTTAGTCCTGGTCACGCACCTTGGCATACTTCATCAGCATGTAATCCCGAGGGATCCGCACGTTCTCCAGCTTCAGGAAGCCATTGTCCACCTCGTCAAAGCCAAACTTGGGCCCGATGTCGCCCACCACCACGCCTGGAAGGAGGGACAGAGACTCAGCATGTCGGTCACTCAAGGAGGCAAACAGAAGAGCAGACGTGGAGAGGGCCGCAGGAAACGGACAGCACATGGAGAGTGGCGGAGAGGCGCAGTCGAGCGGCCAGTACCTGGCAGGGGCTGGTGGTTGCTCATATCGCGGATGGGCACGAGGAAGGCATGCAGGCCGTGGCAGTTCCCCTGGGTGTGCAGCTGTGCCAGGACGACGGCATGGTTGGATGTCTTGCCCACTGGATTCCAAGCAGTATTAATAATATTAATAATGGCGACACTATGGGGAAATTCTCTTTTTGCCTACCCGATCATGCTCTCCACGACACACAGACATACGTGTAGGTGAAAGCAAGCTTGGCAGCGAAGGGCAGCCACCTGCAGTGGCACCAGTGGAGCTGGGAGTTACGGGCCGTGCTCAAGGGCCTACAGACGTTACTCTTCTGTAGAAGCTGGGCTCGAATCGGTGACCTCCCTATCACAGGCACAGAGGCTTAGCCCACTGAACCACACGCTGCCCCAAACTGAGGAAAGCTTACAACACCTGGTATTCCCATGCAGTCTCCCCTCCAAGCACTAACCAGGCCCGACCCTGCCTAGCTTCCGAGATCGGACAAGATAGGGTGTATTCAGGGGAATATGGCTGTTTGACCAGAAGAATCGGCATAATCACTCTACCGCCCTGAGCTTCTGGAACCGGCGCGGCCCATTTAGACAGACGTCACATGGATCGCATGTTTGGCCGGGCTGCTACTATGCAAGGGAGCGGTTACTCACGTCCGCCTGGCCACCATTTTATAGAGGTGACCGTGGGGCTGTTGAGGACAAACTCCTGGGTGGATGGATCGTAAGTGGCTGTAGTCTCCAGCCCACGGATATGGGTACCTGGAAACAAACGCAGGCAACACAAATCAAACTAGAGTCAGTGGGACAACCTGCAAACACATGTAGCCCCAACCTCAGCACACACTAGCCACATACATAGGGAGAGCTCCATCTGCCCACATGCAAATAACACCATTTTTGTTCATTTTGATGTTTGTAGCATTCTGGGAGGGATTCCTGCAGGTGTTTGACAGCACAAGGAAACAGAGAACGTGTTAATTTTTAGCTCCTTTCCTCCCATTAACGGTGAAAGCAGGTGACAGTGTCATGCAATGTGCAGTGGAGCGTAAACATCCACAAAAGTAACAGAAAGGACAGATATTAAACCTCACACATTTGCAGCACCTTGCAGAAACAGAAGCAAAATAGTCTGATTCTGGAAGGCGGGGGAAATTCAGCACTTTCAACTGGAGAAATTGCATGCTGCTCCCAAGCTGAAGGAAGCAGAGAAGAGATAATGCGACCGAGAGCCACCCGCTCCGTTACCGTGGCCCATCTCGGTCTGTGCATAGGTGCCGATGATCTTCAGATTCCATGCGGGCGTGAAGAAGGCGTCTTGTTGCTCGGGTGTGGCCTGGTTCAGCAGCGTGGGCAGGAACATCCCCAGGTGGAGATCCAGGGGCTCGGTGCGCCCACGCTGGACACAGCTGCATCGAGGGTGTGCGTGCAAGTGTCCGTGAGTCAGTTAGTGTGGGTGTATTAAGATTTGCGGAGATAGGAAAGGAGATGGTATTTGCATGGAAGAAAGGAAACAAGGAAGAGTTTGGGGATTCCGACGAAGGGAATGAAACGAAAATGTGAAGAAAAATACAAAGGAGGTGTGGAGATAGAAAAAGAGCCGAATGGACGTAAGGTGTATGAAAGTGTGCAAGTGCGATCACCCAGAAAACAAAAAAACAGTGGAAGAGAGGGAGAGATCAATTTGTCAGCAATTAACGCATGCGAGAGACTCATGCTGATTACACAGCTAAAAAAAACAAACTCAACATCCCTAGAAATGCTGAATTCAAGGGAGAGATTTATATACCATCATGGAAGCTTGTTCTCTCTCAAAAATAAAGGAAAACTCTAGGCAGATTGTTAGGCATGTAACGATTAATTGCAAATTGGTTAAAAATCGATGTAAATGTATGGCGATTTAAACCGGCTGATGTGGAAAATGAATCACTACTTTAGGAGTACTTTACGGTACTTAACAGAAAAACTGGTGTAATATTACATTTGATTTCACGATGTCAGTTCGATGTCAGATGTCATTGCGTATTCACGTTGACATCGTACGTTAGTTTTTGGTTTTGACCGAACGAGAGATGGCGAGCGAATTTCAAATTCAGGACACCCCCCGATCTAAAAATCAGCGGTGTGGCAGCGTTTTAGCTTTCCAGTAATCACAAACGAAAATGGTGAGAAAAGTACAGACAAGGTAAAAACTGCGTGCAAACATTGTAAAAGACTGATAACATACAGAAATAGCACAACGAACATGCTTCAGCATGTCCACCGGCACCAGTGAGCTCAATTCACCACCGCCACAGCAAAGATTATTAAAAGGACAAACCACGCTAAAAAGCTGCACATGCAAGCCTTAGTTTATTTTGTAACGCTTTATATTAAGTGCACCATCATAATGCATTATGCTTTTACAGAACATTCAGTACACCTTCATAATGCATTCATAGAACATTCATAAGCAGCCTGCAAGTACACCTTAACATCCTAACATCCCTTAACAGCTTTAATATACATTAATAACAAACGTTACATGATTATACAATTATGATGTTTGTTATTAATGTATATTACAGCTGTTAAGGGATGTTAGGATGTAAAGGTATACATGCATGATGTTTATGAATGATTTCTGAATACTTAATGAATACATTATGACGGTGTACTGAACGTTTTATGAATGCAATATAAAAGCATTATGAAGGTGCAGTTAACAGATACCGTTTATTTTAAGAATTTTTTTTTTAAATTCAATTTCAGTTGCACTGTTAAGAAGGACACATTTTGCACCATTTAGAAAGATCAATAAAGGAAAATTTTTGAATAAATTTGTCTGCAGCTCATTCTGTTAAAAAAAAAAAAATCATGAAAAGATTGTATCGTGAACTCAGAATCGTGAATCCTATCGTATCGTGAGTTGAGTGTATCGTTACATCACTACAGATTATCCACGAAGCTTCACTTTTCAGTTATTTTCATTGTAGGAAGAAAACTCTTAACTGACAAAAATGATCTGCTTAAGAAACAGCAGGCTCCAGAAGTGACCCCACTTTCTAAAAGTGGTTATAGGATGCGGGGTAAACATTCGCAACAGTTTTTAGTATGGATAAATTTAGTATTCTAAGGCGTTCGGTCATTCCTTACCCATACAAACATTGATAAGCTGTAAGCGTGTAACAATGAAAATGCCGGTGGACTCAAGTATTTTATTCAGGTCCACGGTAAGTTGTTCCATTACGAGTTGGGAGGGGGTATATATGTCATTTGCTGAAAGGAGAACATTCCAAAAGAGAAAACCTTTCCTGAACAGACAGGCTCTGCTCATGCCTGAAACGATGACGTCTACACACAGACCACAGACATGTGAGAAGCAACCAGTCTGGCTTCACCTCCTGCATTCCCAAAGAACAAAGCTATAGGCCTTTTCACAGACTGAACCTTTATCAATCACCATCAATCATTAATCATTCATTTGACAGCTGCGCAGATCACAAGGTTTACAGTAATTTCCATTCTGGCCAAAGTTAATTATTTGCCAATTACTGATTTGCAAAGCAAGACCAAGTTCAAGGCTTTAGAATCAAATGTAAACAAACACGGGACCACAGTGACACAGCAGGGACGGGCATTAAAAGAGGACAGAGAAGGCAGAAGAACCAGACAGAATGAAGAGATCTACTTTTTATATTTGTTCAAGTAACCAATTCGAGTTTGTTCCTTCAGCATGTCTTTAGATAGAAAACATTTCAATCTTCAAACAAGCTGCATTTTCACCACTTCCACCCCCCAGCTTCGGTAAGAGCCATAGAATTTCAAACAGACACCAGCATTAACGAAACAACCATAAGCAGCCAGTGTGAAAACCGATCATTTCAAGAAAAGCTGTTAGTTTTGTTAGTGAATGGTGTGCAAATGGCTGAAAAGGCTAGTCAAACACTTGCAGGAATCCAGAATCTTCCAGAATGTCAGCTCTGGTTCAACCAAGACTACAAACACCTTTATAATGTCTGTGTCATCTACTACAAACACCGCTGGGCAAATGGGCGTGAGGAATTCTCACAGATACAACCAGGAACACATCCAAGCGTCTGCGATTGGACTGACCGTGTCCCATTTCAGTCTGGGCATAGGTTCCCAAGACCTTGAAGGACTCTGCAAGAGGAAGCCACTTCCTGCGCTGCTCTGCGTCGCACTGGGCATATAACGTGGGCAAGAACATGGTATAGTGGAGACCCAGAGCCTCATGATGCTGCCCATTCACGAATCTACGAGCAGGACAGACACAAAGGCTATCAGGCATTTAATCAACAGGATAGCAGGTATATGGGACAGAAAGAACGGCTACCATTGTGAGCCCACAGACTTATCAATCAGAGGAATGCAAGAATGGGATTAAAACAACCAAATCTGTAGTTTAATCGTTTTATTCTGCCTCAAAGAACATGTGCATGTACTGTACTGTCCTAAAAAAGACAGCACCACTTTTCTTAAAAAAAAAAACAAAAAAAAAAGTGTTTCAAAAAGCAAATACATAATACTAAACCCTAAAAGGTACAACCAGCAACCTTCCGATTCGCACAGATCCCGAGCCTGAGTCACCACTCTGCCCATAATTCACATAAGCAGAAATAGAAAAATGTGTTGTCTTTTTTAATTTTGAAATTGCATTATACAATTCACGTCTAAAATAATTCTAATGAAAATACACTTTGACTTGCAGAAAACTGTCGCGCACAAGGTATTGGCCAAAGAGCGTTTGACAGAACTGTCATTTAGCTGTAACTGAATAGCTTATGTACCATTAAGCAAATCATATTTATAAACCCCATGCAACAGCTCTTTTACCACAAATAAGTAAAGTGCCTGCAAGCATCACAATTACTGTAAACACTTCATAGCCAGGAAAAATACAATACACGATTGTAATAGTGTAAAATATGTTTACCGTGATTTTATAAGATACAATAAGGGCATGTCTTCGAGTTGTGAAGGTACATGTATTCGTCATGTACCATTCAGTACATTTCAGATTGGTACACACAATGAAACGAATATATTTATTGACATGAACGGAACCAAAATTCACAAGTAGATGGGCAACTAATGCTAATCGTGACTGAGTTGGTTATGGCTCATGCTGGTTAGTCAGTCATAAGTGGCCAACTGCCTGGCCATAAAAGTAACCTGTATATATTGCTGGAAACACATCCAACATGCTAAGGCATTTGAAATGAGATCATCTGAGTGTGTGTACGACCGGAGCAAGACTGAAATTGCCTCTGCATGTTAGTCTCCCTGTGGCATTTCAGGAGTTTTTGCCAAGAAATTCAGACTGGGCTACAAAAAATAATTTGCTACAGATATGGAACCACACTCTGTAGTAGAGAATACAGGATTTAGCTCATTATGATTGTTATGACGCTACATTTTTTATTTTTAAATATATTGCAAATATTTTTACAATGTGCAACTTATTAAGTTATTTTTAGTCTAAGTCACATCTGAAGTTAATATCCAAGTCTAAATCAAGTCTTTTTTTTATATAAAGCAAGTCTCTAGTCATAAAAACAGACTTGAGTCATGTCACTCAAATTTCCCACCTCTGATGAACAAACTTATCTTTAAATATCTTCAAATGTGGTTCCTGCATACAGAGGTGTGTTAAGTGTTGCCCCAAAAGTTCATGACGTACAAGCTTCAAAATGACTGAACATTTTTAAAAGGATTAGATAAGTAGTACAGCAAGTCTCCAGCATGGCCTTTCCCCTACTGCACTCACTGCTACTGGTATCTAGAGACCTTGGTCACTGTAACCTTGGCAGGGTACTGTGCTCAAACAGATATGCAAATTAACTAAAATACAGACGCTCCCCGGCTTACGATGGTCCGTGTTACGATATTTCGGCTTTACGATGGATATTCCAATTCCATTTTATCACTTGTAGTACATTATTCAATAAATTGCATGAGATATTAAATACTTTATTATAAAATAGGCTTTGTGTTAATGATTTTGCCCAACTGTAGGATACTGTAACCATGTTTAAGGTAGGCCATAGGCTAGGCTATAACGTTTGTTAGATTAGGTGTACTGCACTAAAACGCCTACTGATATTTTCATCTCACAATAGGTTTATCGGAACGTAACCCCATCGTAACCTGGGGAGCGTCTGTATTCGAAAGTTTTAAATATAAGATGCGTTTACATACCTTTATCATTATTCAAAAAAGAGCAAATAAAAAAATTAAGTTACTAACACTCTTACAGTTGCCAAAGTAAAGACATTTCCATCCATCCTCCAGTTGCATATCCTGGCAGGGTGATATGATCTGGAGCCTGTCCCAGGCAGCACAGTGCGACAAGCAGAGGACACCCTGGACGGGATGCCAGTCCATCGCAGGACACAAAATCATACTCTGTTTTAATTACTACCGAGATGCCAATTGCCCTAACTGCTGGTTTTTGTACTGTGGAAAGTAACCAGAGTACCCAAAAGAAAACCACGCAGAACAGAGAACACGCAAACACCACAGACGCAGCGCACAAGTGGGACTCAAATCCACACCTTGCAGATGTGTGATGACACTGCAACATTCCCCTGCACAGCAGTGTTTCTCATAGCAGGTAACCATAAAAAAATGGATGGCAATCAATATGGTTGACTAAAGGTCACTTCAAAACAAACACACTTCAGCTAAATAAATGAAGATTTTTCACTTTGTACTCACAGCATACATGACACCTTAGTAACTTATATGTTGGAGTAAATTACACTACAGATGTGAAACTCCACATGCAACATAAGAGGCAATCTACCCACTTGTTAAGCAGTTAGAAGCCCTCAAATCCATGTGCAAAAAATATATATACACACTCAACTTAAGTGAGTGTTGATTCCAGTAATACATTCATAAAAACATTTCTACATTCGTATTCTGGTTAGGCAGATATAATATGGAGCTGCAGCCTTCTGCAGATATAAATCGCTTACGGTTTACATTCAGCAAATGACCATCAAAAATGTTATCCTCACATTTATAAAGGTTTACATTTTTTCCCCCCAACCAATCGAGACTCCCATGAGTTGCTGAACAGTAGGATGGCAACAGCTCCACAGTGCCTGACATTTTCTGACCTCAAGTGCCACAGCTTACAATTATATTCAGCACATTGTGCAGCGAAATACATGGTGGCCTAGCCCCAGACTCTGAGATAAAAGGAGATAAATTTTAAGAGACAAAACATGAAATATTACACATTAAATAAAAATAAAAAATATCGATGGTGTACGAAGCTGGCATTCAGTGCAAGTAGAGAAAAAGTCCAGGAAAAAATGTGCATGTTCCTTTAAATATCCAAATTGCAAGCGGAATATTGTTATATATGAACCTGAAATAGGGGGTGGCATGGTGGTGCAGTGGTTAGCACTGTTGCCTCACACCTCTGGGACCTGGGTTTGAGTCTCCGCTTGGGTCACATGTGTGTGGAGTTTGAATGTTCTCACCATGTCGTCGTGGGGTTTCCTCCGGGTACTCCGGTTTCCCCCCACAGTCCACAGACATGCTGAGGCTAATTGGAGTTGCTAAATTGCCCTTAGGTGTGCATGTGTGAGTGACTGGTGTGCGAGTGTGCCCTGCGATGGGCTGGCCCCCCATCCAGGGTTGTTCCCTGCCTCGTGCCCATTGCTTCCGGGATAGGCTCCGGACCCCCCGCGACCCAGTAGGATAAGCGGGTTGGACAATGGATGAATGGATGAACCTGAAATAATGTTTGTTTGTTTGTGTGCGTGCGTGTGTAGATAAATATAATAGATCGATAGATAGAGGCTTCACGTTTAAATATAACAAATCAGAAAACTGTTGTTGTTTGTAAGACAGGTAGAGGCGGTTTCTGAGGTTTTCCATACTTCTTGTAGGAGTATATTTCTTCGGGATCGGCGATGCCGTACTCCCGCATCTTCAGGATCATCTGCGCACTCTTCTTCACCGCCGCATCGTACCGCTCGCTGCGGGACATGAAGTTGAGGTCTTCATGCTGGAAGTCGGGGTCTTTGATAACCAGAGTCTCTACGTTGAGATGGGGAGAGAGGGTAACCGTGGGCACAGTTCGTCAGTCAATTTCAATGCATCTGATTTCAGTTTTTACAATGAGCAGCAACAGAATTAGCAACAGCAGATTGTAACTGAATGACTTGTCTTCTACGTGGATTATGCGAGTTTATAGTATACGTTCAGAAGAAGAATAGTAATAGTAAATAAAAAAAACGAATAACGTGCATTTACAGCTTGGGATTTTAAAATGTACAACGGATTTAAGTGTCGTCTGTAGATATTACAGCGCAATGGCAGTATAAGGCATATAGTCTAAACTGCTACAGAAATTAGCTACCCAGCTAGGTGGCGTTTCAAGCGCCGGCCTATTGTCAATAATCATATAAAGATTTTTCCATACAGAAATACTGCATACTTTAAAAGTTGTGAACAACAAACACGTTAACCAAATAAGACATTATCATAAACAGATCTCTAGTCAACAATACGTATCTGATTACACATGGTTACATTTCTGATAAGGAAACCAGGGCTGCCGAAAGTACCCAACCGGGAAGAAATAACAGAAATATTTTGTGGTATTATTTTAAGCCGCAGACTTTGCGCAGGAGCCCGACCGGCACAAACTGACCGATTTCTCGTCTCCTTCTGGTTTTCTCCGGGTTGCCATCCAGGATGTGAGTCAGTGCGTCCGTGTTGAAGGTGGCATTCTCTCGTTCTTTGCGAATGTCGGGGTTCATGGTGGCGACGGGGTCTTCTTCAGCTAAGATCGGACTTGCAGTTGTAGGATTATATATATATAGGAGCCGTTATGTAACACCACACAGTCCGGCCTAGGACATTAAACCTGCGGCACTAGCTGCGGGGCTGTCCTATTCTCGCTTCCTGCCTGCTTTCATGACTGGGCGGGGATGGAGGCTGGACAGGATCTAACGTAGGGTACTCATGGCCATTCATGGTGTGCGGGGTAGGCGCTTGGTGTATGTTTGCAGCGATGGATGGCCATTAGGATAAACGCGATCGGTTTCGTTTCATAGAGTAATTTATTAAGAAGTTGCATTTCGATTGTTTCCACAAAAGCCGTCCGCAAATCGGATCCGCATTTCCGCGACCAGCGACAAGTATGTATCGATTGCATGAACTGTTACTGCATTCAGTTTAGGCAAAACGTGCCACGTTCTTAGGTTCTGTATAAATATTAAGAAACCCGTGAACTTGAAATAAATTACATCAACGCTGTTACCTTATATTTTAAACAATCTAGTTTTGTAACTCGAAATGTGTATCTTAGTCCAACTAGCCTACAAGTTAAGTATCGGATTAGCTCCTTGCATGGGCGTCGTTAGGTACGATCACAGTATTTTAAGCCGAGCCGCGAGTATTTTAGCCGCGATGCCAATCTTCCGTCAGAAAAACAAAAGTCAAGCGCTAGGTAATCTTGACTTTGCCCCTGATGTTTTCAATAGCTAGAAACTCCCCTGGCTCCGTGTAGACGTTAAATCACGCGAAAAGACCGTTTGAATGGAGAATAATAACACATACTCCACAAAGATGAAGTTCATATAGCACTTTCTGGTGTGCAGGGACATGCTTCCGGAACCTGGCGTCTTCCATTTTCCCTGGGAAATCAGTTCGGTCCAAGAAGGAGCTGCAGTGAGAACATATGGCAGGTTAAGAGACTTAATAGCTTCTATTAGAAACGCTAAGCACTTTGCTTGTAATGTATACTTCTGAACAGTTTTTCCCTTTAGAGTAATAACTTAAGCACATTCATTATGTGCAGTAGCCTGCTAGAGATTTTGTGTGCTGTGAAAGCATAACATATTGGGCCCCCAACCCTGGGTATGATGTTAAAATGCATCCAGGGGGATGGAACTGTTGGGGATTGGAACTGGCGTGGTGCTGATGTGTCACATGCTGCACAGATGAATGGATCGATGGATGGATGATGGAGGGAATAACTAAGCCTGATGGATGAGTAATGGATTGATTAATGGATAGATTGGTAGATGAATTGGTTAATGGGTGGATGGATGGGTAATAGAAGGGAATAACTTGAATGGATTATGAACTCTGGTAGGCAGAACTCGTATAGAGTGAGCGATGTCTTTTATGTCCCATGGACCCTCTGCTTGGCCATTCTGCTGCCCCGATGAGCCGGACCGGCCTCGAACGCCTCACATGACCCGATAAAGTTAACCGATAACACTGCTCTTGTGGTAGAAAAATTATAAATTCCGTCTAAGAAATAAAGCTCCGGACAGTTTACTTATACATTTGTACTACCATATAACATATTGCACATGGCCTACTGCGACTACTTTATATCTACAACTGTTTGCGCACCAGTTGGGGCAGCTTCGAATCTCTTCCTGCAGGCGTTTTCTCCCCCCCTTGCTCCGCTGTTGATCTCTCCAAGGTCTGATCTCTCTTCAGGGTCTGCGGAACCAACTCTAGGCAGCTATCACAAAGCGAGGTCACACAGTATTCAAAACAATCTCTTCTTGCCTAAGACATAACAGACCCACTATGCCTCCCCTCCTTGGCCAACCAATGTCCAGTTTCCTTTCCACACTCTCAGTGCCAGGTAAGGTCCTTGCTAGAGTCATCCACAATGGGATCGTCTATTAGTGACTCTTGATTTACACCTAAGAAGTCTAGCATTGACCGCATCCTGGCACTGTGGGTTCTCGCCGAGCACAAATCTGAATATTGACAGGGTTTAGGAGCCTTTGTTTAAGTTTCGTAAATAGTTTGATTCAATCGAACAAACTGCCCCATGGAACATCCTGAGACTTAACGAGATCATAAAATTGCTGGACATCATGTCCAGTCTGTACACTGTACACTATGAATGTTGTGCAGCCTGAACCTCTGTCATCTTCCCAATGTATTCTGGGGTTCATCAGTGGTGTGTTACTACTCTGTTTACACTTACATGGACTGGGTGTTGGCCAGGGTTGTGGGGTCCAGTGGCTGTGGAGCATCTGTTGGTGAGGAAAGATTTTCCAGTCTTCACTTTGTTGACCCCAAACCAATCCAGTCCAGTTAAATTATCATCATACCCCCACATGACAGATACCCCTTATTCTGTGCAGCTCTTTCTCTGCCATTCTTTGCATATTACTGTTTGTCGCATATCATTAATTCTTACTGATTAAATATGTCTAAATGTCTTTCATCCAGCCACTATGTTCTGTATGCTTTACTTCTCCTTGTCTACTTTCTAATCTTCACAGATTGCTGTCCTACCAGCCTGAAGTTTCTGAGGCCGTCTTGTCCTCACAGCACTTATCAGTCCAATATGACATTACTGTCCATACGGCCTTTGTGGAGCCTTTCCTGCCCTCACTACACTCCCACTACATAGTGTTGGGGGATGTTGAGAGGACAGAGGGTAAGGATGTTACTTCACTCTTGTCTTCTCCTTGATGTATTATCAAAATGTAAAGCATATTTTTTTGTATTGTGTAACTGTTGTGCATTTTTGTGTCAGGGGATGGCGTGATGGTGCGTGCACGTGTGCTGAACTGCGTGGATGGTATAAACCTCGCCCTGCTGCAGCAGGCCATCGTGGAGCAGAGGCGCTACCTTCAGGAGAGAGATGGTGAAGCTCCTGTGCAGCCGACTGCGCAGTGACGATCCACAATAGGTGGCTTCCTCTATAAGCGAAAAGTGACTTGGAGCCAGTTTTCGCTGGAGAAGCATCAAGGCAACGAAAAGGTTCTTATAGTATTAAAGTAAGAATAATATGGTTGCCGATTTTGGGTGTAAAACATTTTTATTTATTTTTTTAGATAAGTTTCTTTGAATGTTGAATGACCTCTTTTTTTATTGATAATCAAATTTCTTTCCCACTGTTTTGAAAGCTGGTTTGGATAAGTTATAATTCAGTTATTTAATTGATTTTGAGTGGACTTAGTGAACATAAAAAAGTTGTTTTTGTGCATGAAACTTGCTGTATATTACATGCACAACTGCATTGTCATCATGAATAAAAATTTTTATCTTATCTTCATAATGTGACATTTTAAAATTCTGTAATTTTTTTTTTTTAATAAATATCTCAGGATGGGATTTCTGCAGTATTGTAAGGTAGGAGGTTACCATTATTCATCCAGTAGGTCTGAAACAGGTAGAGTGATAGTGTATTTGAGAAAAAATACCATTGCTGGTTAAATTGAACCAAATTTCATACAGAAGTAAATATACACAAAAATAGAACATGCTAGCCATTTAAAGATTTATTAAGGGTTATTTCTGGATACAATATCGAACAAGATCCAAAATAAATGAAATATAGTAATTGTTCTACACTTCAAGATACCAGCAAAGCTTGATAAATGGGAAAAAAAATGTCTTTGCCCCTTAACCCAAATGTTGAATTGCAAAATGTTTTTGATAAGATCACACAATCATATATGATTTTTCACAAATACAAATGCTGTCTCATGCCATTTAAATAAGAAGCATGATGCAAGATCATCCCATAAACAAGTAAACATACGAACGGCAGTAAGTTCTACCTAAAATGAGCAAACTGGTATGGTTTCCTGAGACAGGTATATAGTGTTTTGTTTTTCTGCCCAGTCTTTCGTGTCGCGCTGCATATGTAACAGCGATTCTCTGGAGATCTGTCATTCCTTTTTTTCGGTCTGCCAGTCTAAAAGGCTCGATGACTTTTGTATGAGGGGATGTAAGTGGATTCATTAGCACCGCCTCTGTTAGCGGGCGGAGGTGTGGCACTCGTGAGCGGGTTACTGGAGACCGTTGTCTTTTTGTCTCCAGCAACTAGAAGAGCAAATTCTGAAATGGACATCTTGTTCATCTTGTACTGCTGCAAGTCAGACTGAGTGATTCTGCTGTCATCGAGGGCTTTTTGGATGGAATACTGCTTGCCACTCTTGCGGTCCCGGAGGACTGAGATCTCTCCATTAGGCCCCTTGGAAGTTATCTCTTCCCAGTCACACTCCAGCTCCTCCAACTGGATGTACTGATTGCGGTCAATCAGCCCTTGTATGTAAGCATCATATGGCGACATATCTTTTCCTGTTTCTGGGTCTAAAATAGTGATTTTTGTGGAAAGATTGGTCTCGCTCATTCGTTTGGTATCTTCCTTCTTCAGGTTGTTGAGCAGCTCTCGGAGGGTAAACTCTCTTTTGTGTATCTTGTCTTTTTCATCCAATATTTCCCTCTCCAGTCGCTGAACATCTGATTCCATCTTCATGCTCTTTTGCCTGCTCATCAAGTTTCTCTCACTCAACAGCTTCGACTGCTGCTGGAAGGATACGTGAGTGTCCTGCTTGTTGGACTCCATGGTCTTCAGCTCCATCAGGAGGTTATCCTTCTCTCTCAGCAAGGAATCCCTCTGCTGAGTGTAGTTGTTCCCTTCCCAGGAAGTATTATCACGTGTCGCCAGAAGTCTGTTCAATTTGTCCCTGGTCCGTTGCATTTCTGTCTCCAGTTCTAGCCTAACATGTCTCTCCTGAGACACCTGTTCTCTGAGACGGGCCCTCTCAGACTCTACAGCCTGGTCCTTCTCTACTCGAATCACCTCTTTGTAGACAGTTTTTTCCATAGATTTTTCTTTTAGCAGGATATCCAGTCTATGGGTGATGCTTCTGATGTCCCGATTCAAGAACTGTATGGTATTTCCCTCTCTCTCCAGGTCTGCACGTAAGCTAGCTGTCATCTTTTCTAGTTTGGGATCTCTTTCAACCTTCAGGACCTCCTCCATAATAATTCTCTCTTCAATTGGTGGGGGAGCATTTTCAAGCTCATAGATTCTGGTTTTAATTTGTCTTAGTTCCATCTCTGCCTGGATCCTCTTTTGGATTTCATCTGACTCCCGCAGAATTCTCTCCTTTTCTAGGATCAATGCCCTCAGCTGTTGCACTTCCAATTCCATCTGTCGACGAGCCTTCATCTCATCATCCAGATCCCTGTTTAGCTTGTCATGCTCCAATATCTGCCTGGAGTCCTTCTCCAAACGCAACACTTCTTGCACCACTACCACCTCCTCTGGCTTCTGCCTCTCCAGCAGGATGTATCTGTTTGCTAAATCAAAGACCATTTCCTCAGTGGTACGCCGACGTTGTGTTTCATCACGCAGCTCCTTTCTCACTCTTTCAACTTCTTTTTCCAAAAGTGGGTCTTTTTCATACTTAACAACCTCCTTTGTCACAAGCTTTGTTTCTACCTTTGATTTTTCCACTTTCAATTCATCTCTCTCTTTTTGCAGGCGAAGTAGTTGGTCTTGAGTGGTATTGTAGGTGCTCTGGAAGCGTGACACCTGTTCATTGAGCCTTTGAAGTTCCTTCTTTATTTCAGGACTTTTTTCCTCTTTAACCACTTCATGGAGTACTTCCTTGAGCTCCACATTTGGCTTCTGTGAGCGCAGTGATGATAAGCTAATTCTAACCACTTCGATATCCTTCTCCAGATCTCCACGACATCTGTTTGAGTCCTGTATTTCTTTTTTCAGCCTCACAAGCTCTACTTCGGTCTGAGGGTCTACTCTGTAGATCTCATTGATTATTTCTTTGATTTCCACATTTTGTTTCAGCCTGTCAACTTGGAAGTATCGGTCCTGAAGTTCGTTGATCACCCTCACCATATTATTGTTTTCGGTTTTCTGATCCTCCAGCAAAGTTCGGACCTTCTTGGCCTCGTCGATTAGTTTGGGGTCTTGTTCCACTTTCTTCACCTCTTTAGTGATAATCTTGGGTTGCACAGTTGGAATAATCCTTTCCAGTGTGTTGATCTGACTCCTGGTTTGGAATATCTCATCATTCAGAGCCTTGCACTTTTGACCTTCATCTGCAATCTGAAGCTCAAAGTTCTTTACAGCTTTCAGCATCTCTGGATCCCTCTCCAGTTTTACTACTTCTTTTTTCACTACCTTCTCCTTTATAGTTGGTAGCTTTTGCTGGAGAATGTTGACCTCAGTTTTAATCTGAACTGTTTCAGTCTCTCTGGTACGAAGCTCATCTTTCATTCTGCGTATCTCCTCTTTGATTTTATTGGCTTCCACATCAAGCTGTGGGTCTCGCTCAATCTCCGTTACCTCCTTAGTTGCCAGCTTAGGCTTCACATTCTTAATCTCATGCTCAACGGTGACAATTTTCTTATTGATTAACTCAATCTCTGATTGGGTAGCAGAGCGTTTAAGGGCCTCTTGATGGATCGTATCTCTCAGGACCACCAGATCATTTTCAAGTTTTGGATCACGGTAGTACTGGAGTACTTCTTTTTCCTGGACCCGCTCTACCCCTTTGCGACTCTTCAGTGACATCACCCGGGTTTTGTAAGTGTCCAAGCTAGTCTCTACATGGGTTCTCCTGGCAATCTCATCTTCCAGTTCCTTCTTCAGAGTGGCAACCTCATCCTGGCTCTTCTGTAAGCTCTGCTGTTGCAGTTGCTGTTTCACCACCACTTGACTTGCCATCTCCTCTTTCTACTCAGGAGAGAAGGAATTGGGTTTTAAATGCTGAGCTGCCCCCCCCCCCCAAACTTTTCTTTGTCTACATTTATTTTTTAGTAATAACTTCATGCTGTACAAATATTTCAGAAGTGTTCACCACTAATACTGCTTAACACAATGTAATTTTGAGTTTGTTTTGCGATGAGTTTATCTGCATTTTCATTGAATCGCGCCAAAAGACAATAGATGGTTCTCATCAATAAAAGAAAAATCTGCCTGCCTTTGCTTTACCTGAGAAGTGATGTTTTTGGCAAGACCTATCTGGTTGAGTAACGCGTCATTCTTTGCAGATGCTTCAGCGTAACGGTTTACCAGGTTCTTCTCCTGTTACACAGAAACACATTGCATTCCATTAGGTCCTAATCAACACTGAAAATATAAGCAGCCTGATTCGTATAACTTCAAACTGCTTATCCCAGACAACATAGACTATTCCAGCCAGCGTAAGCAGGGGTAAACCCTGGACGCCGAGATATAATGCTACCCAGTGAACCACCATACAGCAATAGTATAGATCTAAAGTAGACAACAGTTCACCTACCTGCATCTTCACAGAGTCAGCCATAGTGGAAGACTGTAGACGTTTGGCAGCTGGGACTACCGCCTCATCAAGTGTACTTCTATATTTGTTAGAGTTGGCCTCATAAGCCTAATAAAATAAAAACCACAGGTATACAATGTTTGGTAACACTTTACATTAACTGCACCTTCATAATACATTCATTCTACATTCATAGAACATTCATAAGCAGCATGTAAGGATACCTTAACATCTTAACATACCTTAACATTAGCTTTAATATACATTAATAACAAACATTATACAATTATATTGTTTGTTATTATCATGCAATATTTGTTAGTAATGTATATTAAAGCTGTTGAGGTTTGGTAGGATGTTAAGGTGTACTTACATGCTGCTTATGAATGTTCTATGAATGCATTATGAAGGTGCTGTTAATGTATGTTTATTTGTTGAAAACCATACATATAAAGGGAAGACATCGTTTTAGCTGAATTAGCAAGGTCTGTCTTACATTGAGAACACCCTGCAGATCCTGGGATTGGTCAAGCATGTGGTCAATGTCATCCCCTTTTCTCCGGATGTCATCCACAACTCTCTACAACAAAACATTTCAGGCCATTAAAGGAAAGACCATTACCTTTAGCCAGGTAAAGAACATTTGGCAATTTTTGAGATTCCCAAATAAGCTATGGAAACACTATTTTGATTAAATTAAGTAGTCTAAATTTCTACATTTTACATTTAGTGTTTCAGTGAAAGACTTGGTATTAATTATAATCATTAATCACATGTGGATGTCCTAAGATGCCAAATATGGAAACATGAGAACCTGCAGAAACAGACCTTTTGAGAATTCTGCTTGTTGTTGACCTGGGCCAGTGTGTCATTAGGGTTCACCGTGTTGTTAGGCAGGCTGTTGAGGAAGGAATCCAGCGACTGGGCAGCACTGTCAAAAGTGTTGTTCTTGTTGCTTGCCTCTTGTAACAGACGTTCTCTGAATAAAGACGTAGAA